GGAGGCCTTGAGGGTCTTCAGCGAAGGCTGGAGGTCCCTTGGGAGGATCCTGGGGTGGGGGAGGGGCCTCTGGAGGTTTCGTGAGAGTCTCAGAGGACCCCGAAAAGATTTTTGGGGTGGGGGTGTGGGCTGTGAGAGCCTTAGGGGGACCGTGACTGCACTCAGCAAAGGCTCAAGGTCCCCGTGGTGTTATTTGGGGGGTCTGTGAGGGTCCCTGGCAGGGACTTGGGGTCCCTGTGAGGGTCTTGGGGTCCCCATGAGGGTCTCAGGGTGCCCAGTAGAGCTTTGGGGTCCATATGAAGGTCTTGGGGTTCCCATGATGCTCCCCATGAGGGTCTTGGTATCCCTGTGAGGGTGCTAGGGTCCCCGTGAGGGTCTCTGGGTGCCCATGAGGGTCCCCATGAGGATCTTGGCATTGCCGTGAGGATCTCGGGGTCCCCATGAGCATCTTGGCATCCCAGTGAGAGTTGTGGGGTCCCTGCAAAGGTCCCCAGCGGAGCTTTGGGGTCCCCGTGAGGGTCTTGGGGTCCCCGTGAGGGTCTACAGCAGAGCTCTGTGGCCCTCATGAAGGTCTCAGGGTCTCCATGAGGGTTTCAGGGTGCCCAGCAGAGCTTTGGGGTCCCCATGAGGGTCTCGGGGTCCCCCTGAGGGTGCCCGGGTCCCAGCGACAGCCTTGAGGAGCGGTGGGGGTCTCCAGGAAGGTCTTGGGGGACCTTGGGGTTCCTTGTGAGAGTCCCGGGCAGAGACTTGGGTTACCCAGAAGGGTCCCTGGAAGGGTCTCGGGATCCCTGTGAGGACCTCAGGACCCCCATGAAGATCCCCAGCAGAGGCTTGGGATCACCATGAGGGTCCTTGTGGTGGTCTCGGGGTCCCTGTGATAGGCTTGGCATCCTTGTGAGGGTCTCGGGGTCCCCATGAGGGTCCCCGTGGGCATCTTGGCATCCCAGTGAGAGTCTTGGGGTCCCTACAGAGGTGCCCAGCAGAGCTTTGGGGTCCCCATGAGGGTCTCGGGGTCCCCCTGAGGGTGCCCAGCAGAGCTTTGTGGCCCTCGTGAAGGTCTTGGGGTCTTCATGAGGGTCTCAGGGTGCCCAGCAGAGCTTTGGGGTCCCCATGAATGTCTCGGGCTCCCCATGAGGCTCCCCATGTGGGTCTCGGCATCCCCATGAGGGTCTCAGCGTCCCTGTGAGGTTCTCAGGGTCCCCATAAGTGTCCCCGCAAGGGTCTGGGAGTCCCCATGAGGGTCCCCATGAGCATGTTGGTGTCCCTGTGAAGGTGCTAGGGTCCCCGTGAGGGTCTCGGGGATCCCATGAAGGTCCCCATGAGGGTCCCTGTGGGCATCTCGGCATCCCCGTGAGACTCTTGGCGTCCCTACAAAGGTGCCCAGCAGAGCTTTGGGGTCGAGGGTCTCAGGATGCCCAGCAGAGCTTTGGGGTCCCCGTGAAGGTCTCAGGCTTCCCATGAGGGTCTTGGCATCCCCGTGAGGGTCCCAGCGTCCCCATGAGGGTCCACGTGGGCATCTTGGCATCGCAGTGAGAGTCTTGGGGATCCCTGTGAGGGTGCCCAGTAGAGCTTTGGGGGCCCCATGAAGGTCTCGGGGTCCCCGTGGGGCTCCCCATGAGGGTCTTGGTATCCCTGTGAGGGTCTCACGGTCCCTCTGAGGGTCCCTGTGAGGATCTTGGCATCCCCACGAGGTGACCCATGAGCATCCTGGTGTCCCCGTGAGGGTCTTGGGGTCCCCATGAGTGTCCCCGTGAGGGTCTTGGGGTCCACATGAGGGCCCCCATGAGCATGTTGGTGTCCTTGTGAGGGTGCTAGGGTCCCCGTGAGTGTCCCCTGAGGGTCTTAGGGTCCCCATGAGTGTCCCCATGAGCATGTTGATGTCCCTATGAGGGTGCTAGGGTCCCTGTGAGGGTCTCAGGGATCCCATGAGGAACTCGGCATCCCCGTGAGGGTCTCAGGGTCCCCATGAGCGTCTCGGCATCGCCATGAGGGTCCCCATGAGGTTCTTGGCGTCCCCGTGAGGGTCTTGGGGTTCCATGAGCATGTTGGTGTCCCTGTGAGGGTGCTAGGGTCCCCATAAGGGTCCCCTTGAGGATCTCGGTGTTCCCGTGAGGGTCTCGGGGTCCCCCTAGGGTCCCCATGAGTATCTTGGCATCCCAGTGAGAGTCTTGGAGTCCCTACAGAGGTGCCCAGCAGAGCTTTGGGGTCCCCATGAGGGTCTCGGGGTCTCCCTGAGGGTGCCCAGCAGTGTGGCCCTCTCGAAGGTTTCAGGGTCTCCATGAGGGTCTCAGGATGCCCAGCAGAGCTCTGTGGCCCTCATGAAGGTCTCGGCATCCCCATGAGGCTCTCAGGGTGCCCGTCAGAGCTTTGGCGTCCCCATGAAGGTCTCGGGGTCCCCATGAGGCTCCCCATGAGGGTCTCAGCATCCCCGTGAGGTTCTCAGGGTCCCCATGAGTTTCCCCACAAGGGTCTCCGGGTCCCCATGAGAGTCCTCATGAGCGTGTAGGTGTCCCCGTGAGGGTCTCTGGGTCCCCATGAGGGTCTTGGGGTCCCCGTGAGGGTCTCAGGGTGCCCAGCGGAGCTTTGAGGTCCCCATGAAGGTCTCAGGGTCCCCATGAGGCTCCCGTGAGGGTCTCGGCATCCCCGCAAGGGTCTCCGGGTCCCCATGAGGGTCCTCATGAGCATGTAGGTGTCCCTGTGAGGGTGCTAGGGTCCCCGTGAGGGTCTCAGGGTTCCCATGAGCGTCTCAGCATCCCCATGAGGGTCCCCATGAGGGTCTCGGTGTCCCCATGAGGGTCCCCTTGGGCATCATGGCATCCCAGTAAGAGTCTCAGAGTCCCTCTGAGGGTGCCCAGTAGAGCTTTGGGGCCCCCATGAAAGTCTCGGGGTCCCCCTGAGGCTCCCCATGATGGTCTTGGCGTCCCTGTGAGGGTCTCAGGGTCCCTCTGAGGGTCACTGTGAGGATCTTGGCATCCCCATGAGCATCTTGGTGTCCTTGTGAGGGTGCTAGGGTCCCTGTGAGTGTCCCCGTGAGGGTCTTGGGTTCCCCATGAGTGTCCCCATGAGCATGGTGGTGTCCCTGTGAGGGTGCTAGGGTCCCCGTGAGGGTCTCAGGGTCCCCGTGAGGGTCCCCATGAGGATCCTGGCGTCCCCGTGAGGGTCTCGGGGTCCCCATGAGGGTCCCCATGAGGATCTTGGCATCCCAGTGAGAGTCTCGGGGGTCCATACAAAGGTGCCCAGCAGAGCTTTGGGGTCGCCATGAGGGTCTTGGGGTCCCCGTGAGGGTCTCAGGGTGACCAGCAGAACTTTGGGATCCCCATGAGGGTCTCGGGGTTCCCCTGAGGGTGCCCAGCAGAGCTTTGTGGCCCTCGTGAAGGTCTTGGGGTCTCCATGTGGGTCCCCATGGGCATCTTGGCATCCCAGTGAGAGTCTCGGGGTCCCTACAAGGTTGCTCACAAGAGCTTTGGGGTCCCCATGAGAGTCTCGGGGTCTCCCTGAGGGTGCTCAGCAGAGCTCTGTGGCCCTCATGAAGGTCTCAGGGTCTCCATGAGGGTCTCAGGGTGCCCAGCAGAGCTTTGGGGTCCCCGTGAGGGTCTCAGGGTCCCCCTGAGGGTGCCCAGCAGAGCTCTGTGGCCCTCATGAAGGTCTCAGGGTCTCCATGAGGGTTTCAGGGTGCCCAGCAGAGCTTTGGGGTCCCCATGAGGGTCTCGGGGTCCCCCTGAGGGTGCCCAGCAGAGCTTTGGTGTCCCCCTGATGGTGCCCAGGAGAGCTTTGAGGCCCTCATGAAGGTCTCGGTGTCTCCATGAGGGTCTCAGGGTGCCCAGCAGAGCTTTGGGGTCCCCATGCAGGTCCCCAACCAAGGCTCAGCCTCCCCGGAAGGGGTTCATGAGGGGCTGCGAGCTCGCGGGGAAGGACGGCGGGGGCGCGATGGCCACTCCAGGCCTGGTCCCCACTGTCCCCTCGTGTCATCGGCCCCGGGGGGGTGTTTCCTTCCGCAGCCATCGAGGACGAGTACAGCGGCCCCAAGCTGGACGGCGGCAAGGTGACGTTGGCCTTCATGAAGGACCTGATGCAGTGGTACAAGGAGCAGAAGAAACTCCACAGAAAATGTGCCTACCAGGTACCCCAGTACCCCCAGGGTCCCCTGCTGGGCTCTACCGCGTCCCCAAATGCCACCCGTCCCCTTCTTCGTCACCTCGGCGCACCCGTTGTCCCGGCAGATCCTGGTGCAGGTGAAGGAGGTGCTGGCCAAGCTCCCCACGTTGGTGGAAACGACGCTGAAGGAGGTGGGTGCCCCTCGTCGGGTGCCAGCGCCGCCGGGTGCGTCTGGGGGGCAGGGGGGGGACAACACCACGCGCGAAGTCCCCGAGCGGTGACGTTTCGCCTCGGCTCGCCCCAACCGCAGACGGAGAAGGTGACGGTGTG